ATCCTAGCAACTTACCAAGTGCTCGTTCCCTTAAGAGGAAAGCTGCCACTAACAGGCGTGTCTGGTGGGTGATTCGGCTATTGAGGCTACTTAGCGGGGTCACCTATTAGAAGAAGCGGGGTAGACGTTTGGATTAAGGCAGTCAGAAGCTAGGCGAGTTTCCTCGACACCAGCTTAATCAGTTCAATAGAATCCTATTAGGTCAAGGGCCTGTAGGCAGTCAGAACTTAGCCCTAGTAACGGAGAGCTGGACCAGTAGCCCTGTACGGGGTAGTACCGGTGCGGAAAGACAGTTCTTAATGGTTCTTCTAAGTCACAAGTAAAATAGAGTATTTTTGAACTTATCCCTGGAGTAAGTTGTGCCAAACCTCTAAATCCAACCTAGCATCTTACCAAGTGCTCGATCCATTTAGGAGGGAAGCTGCCACTAACAGGCGTGTCGCGTAGAGTGATTTGACTACTGAGGCTACTTAGTTGGGTCAACTATCAGAAGAAGTGGGGTAGACATTTGGATTAAGGTAGTCAGAAGCTAGACGAGTTTCCTCAACCCCAGCTTCAGTAGTTTTACAGAATCCTAGTAGGTCAGGAGCCTGAAGGCAGGTTGAACCAAACTCTAGTGACAGAGAGCTAGAATAACTAGTTTTGAAATCATTTTTTTGTAATTGTTTATGAGCTGTGGCTTTGTCTGTGCTACAAATTTGAAATAAATGTCCACATTTTTTAAATTTAATTGCAGGTTGAATATTAATTGTAAAAAGTTTGGTTTATTTAATGCTCTGATATTCTTGTTGGTTCCTTAAAGTCGGACCACTAGTCCGGGAATATATCATTATATTCCATAAAATGAAAAACCTGGGCTCGGCATGTACACCAAGGTGTCATCAATAGATATATATCCAGCTGCTTACATATCGAATTTGTTTCCATACTTGTCTCCTCTCTGTTTTGTGTCAACACAGCGCACTGCAGTTCAGCCAGAAAGTCTCTAAAATTTTAAAACTTAATTGATGAGTCAGTAATGGCATCACGGATATGCCAAGGAGAGGATCAGTTTTTTGTTTTTTATAGAATCTGTCCATCCATCCATCCATCCATCCATCTTCTTTCGCTTTATCCGGAGTCGAGTCGCGGAGGCAGCAGCCTTAGCAAAGCTGCCCAGACTTCTCGATCAGCGCACACCTCCTCCAGCTCTTCCGGGGGGACCCCCAGGCGTTCCCAGGCCAGTCGAGAGGCATAATCCCTCCAACATGTCCTGGGTCTTCCCCGAGGCCTCCTCCCGGTGGGACGCGCCTGGAACACCTCCCCAGGGAGGCGTCCAGGAGGCATCCAGAAAAGATGGCCAAGCCACCTCAGCTGGCGTTGCGCTCCATACTAATATTTATGTCCTGTTGTTGATGAATGTAGACAAATTTTCTGACAAAATTTTTAGAGCTGATCTGCACTGATCATCTCGAAACTCACTGACATATCAGTTCATGCATGAATATATAATCACAGTATTCCATATTGTACATTTGTTCTCTGTAGATGTGCAGCAGCTGATGATGATGATTAAAGGAGAGGGTCCCCATTAACCAGAGCTCCAGTCTGGACCAGCAGGACTAAGAGGTCTTTCCCATACAGGAGGAACAGGAGGAACTGTGAACCAATCGGGAGGGAGAGCAGCTTGAAGGGCACGAGGAGGCTGATATCACCAGATTTACATTCACTGGTGTTCCTGTGAAGAATTCACAATGATGAAGAGAAAACTTCGATCCTCACTCCGTCATCAGAGCCAAACTGAGGACAGCAGAGAGGAAACAAACAGCTCAGCTAAACAGATGAGAACGGACACTGATGGAGAGGACTATTCTTCAGATTCTTCTGAAACTGAAGACAGTGATGATGAACTTTGGAACAAACATTCGTCAGATTCTGGATCTGAAACTGAAGACAGTGATGATGAACTTTGGAACAAGCATTCATCAGATTCTGGATCTGAAACTGAAGACAGTGACAGTAATTGGGAGGAGACCAGAGCACCTAGGTCAGGTGGAAAAAGTGGTGTGGGACGTAACTTGAATAAAGAATCCTTTGGAGTAAAGCAAAACGGTAACTCACAGACAAAAGGAGAGGAATCACTTGCCTGTAATGAATGTGGTAAAACCTTTATAAATGAGTATCGTTTAAAGGTGCACCTGTCAGCTCACAGAGGAGAAAAACAATTTTGCTGCAATATTTGTGGTGCAAGATTTAGTCAGAAGACCACTCTGAGGAGACACATGATAGACCACACAGGAGAAAGACCATTTGGCTGTGATGTTTGTGGTCACAGATTTTGCCAAAAAGGAGAGCTGAAGGGACACATGACAATTCACACAGGAGCGAAACCATTCGGTTGCGATACGTGCGGTAGAAAATTCAGACGTAACCAAGATCTTACTGCACACATGAGAGGCCACACGGGAGAAAGACCATTTGGATGTGGCGATTGTGGCGCAAGATTTACACGACAAGGATCTCTAAACAGACACATGACAATCCACTCGGGAGCAAAGCCATTTCGTTGTGCTGATTGCAGTACAAGATTTAGTCGAAAGTCGCATCTTATGAACCACAGGAAGACTCACTCAAAAAAGAAAAGAGTCGTTGAAGGAGAGAGACCATTTAGTTGTGATGATTGCGGTCAAAGGTTTAAGGAGAAGTCTCATTGTGACAGACACATGAGAATGCACACAGGAGAGAAACCATTTCAATGTGATGATTGTGGTAAAAAATTTACACGACCGCAAAATCTAAATAGGCACATGCAGACAATGCACAAAAAACAAACTGCATAGTTGCATGACTTGTTGTGAACAATTGGAGGTATATTGTGAAGAACCACAGCTCTGACAGCCCACTGCAGTAACTCTACTGGGGACTTTACATCATCCTTGCTGTCTGATTTACCTGCATGCCACAGGAACTCTGCTACTTTCTCTCTCTAAAATGGGTGATATCAGTGTACTTATAGTATTCCTGCTTGTGCCTATATACACTTTTATGATGTATTTCGAGGCTGTGGATGATGAGTACTTGCTGTGACTGAAGCAAATGTGAATCCCAATAAATAAGCAATAAAGAATTTTTGAAAAGTGTTTTTTAAGTCTCTAAACTGTTCATATGGCGTCTACCAACTGTCTGTTGTAGAGAATATAAGTGCAACCTGAAAAATAAATCAAGCCTGTTCAAGCAATCAAAAGATTAGTCTCATTAATTACACTGCACCGTCAATTTGGAACTCAACTCATAACAACAAGCAACGTTACCATATCAATAGATCTGGTATTTTGGAGTTCTGAAGAGCAGAGATTGGCAGCGACCACCCTTATGGAACATTAAATAGAGCAGCATACTTATTTTTAAACAATACACAGATAACTAAATAGATTTTAAAGTGTGTGTGTGTATGTCGGCTGCTTTTGTTTCTTGAAGATGTTTCACCTTCGTCCAAGTAGATTCCTGAGTTCCAACTGACTGATGAGTCCCAGGTATTTAATCTCACATGAAATAACATGACTAATGGCCCATTAATAACACACGTGTCTCGAGGTGTGAATTAATGTGAAACTGCCAGATAAGGGACGACCGAATATGCTTATGTTGGTGAAACTGCCAGGTGAGGGATGTCAGGACTGCATTATAAGTGCCTGGTCAGCGGTGTTCCAGTTTAACGTAAATAGCTCCTTTACTTCTCTGTCAAACCACCAGAACGTGAAGATTGTTGTCTTCAGAGGAGTGTCCTTCATCCTTTAGATGCACATGTTGCGTCTGTGTAGGATTATGATGCTGGGTTAGAAAATAGGACGTTTAGCTTGTGTCCAAGACTCTGCATCTGTGTGCAGCGTAACTAGCGTCTGCTTGGTATTGACATTGGTTGACTTTTCAAACATCTGACTATAAAGCAGTTTTATTTATGCTTGTCAATATGCATCTTCTCAATGCTGCTTACATTTGAGTTGAGCATATAGGAAACTAGTTTACAATCAGACATTTAAAATGACATAACTGCAACGGAAAGGACCAGAACAGCTTCATGTGTATTTATTTCAAGCACATCTTCTTGCACTACAGTGTCAGTAAAGGTAGCAACAACAGTACCCATTTACACTTGTACTTGTCCAACCGATATAAAGAAAAAAAAGAAAATCTGACTCATAAACTTCAACTCCTGTTTGACTGTTCTCTTTGATTAGACTATATTTATTTATTTATAGATATATTTCTTTGTTTGGTTTTTTTTTCATTTAAAAAATGTGTATTTATTCATTTATTTTTACTGCTTGATGGTTTATCTATATTTGCCACGTTGCTCAGCGTTTTTGTCGCTGTGTCTGTTCAGGTTTTGCTCAATTAAGCAAAATTAAGCAGGTAGAATAAAGGTGTCCGTGCAGATGCCTGTAAGGATTCTGCGCAGGCGCGGCTCCTCTACGAGCCTCCGGTTAGTTTTGAAGAAGAGAAGCAGGTCTGACACCATGAACCAGGTGGATTCTGTCCAGCAGCAGCGGACTGACAGTGTGTGTCTGGAGGACAAAGTGCGGATGAAACGCCTCCATGAGCCGCAGGACGTTGTTCTGAAGCAAACCGCTGGTAAGAAGAATCACAGCTAATGTGGAGGAAGCTGCTAACTGCTAGCTGCTGGGAGGGAGGCTGGAGGAGACGATTCAGTGAAGAACCGAGCTGCTGAGCTCCTGTTCACCTCAATCTGACCACTTATGGATAAATAACAGGAACATTAATAACGTTAGTTGGTTAAAATTTGTGTTGGAAAAAGGCGGAACTTAATGGTGACGGTTCAGTGCAGCACCCGGACGGTTTACAGCGCGACACACCTCGTAGTTCAGCTCGAATGAACAGTTTGGATTTTAGGATTTAATGAGCAGCTTTAAAGGGTGAAAGAGAAGAGCTTAGTGACTCTTTTTAACACCATCGTCTCCAGACAGACACTGGAGGACATCAGAGCGGTGTTTCAGTTTAAATGGTGTCAGATTATCTGGTGAAATATGAGGTAGTGTAGGTGTCTGCGCCGATGCCTGTTCAAAACACTGAAAACGTCAATAAATCGTTTGGGAAAATGTTCCTGTTGTCAGTATTAACATTTGTCTCACATATGTAGGTGTTCTGATGTAAAGCCCACAGTTTAATGAACGTTATTAACGGTCAGGTTGAGTGGAGGCAGAACTAAATCACACTGATTAACCTGTAACACATCTGTTTAGCATTATTGTTAAGATGTGTTTTTGGGTTATTCCACCTCTCATCATCAGGGGCCTTCTGCTTGACCATCTGTGATTTGCTTGAATTTTATTTTTTTAAAAACATATACAATGGATATTTAAAATAAGATCTTAAATTTTTTATCTTGATATATCAAATACTAATTTATCAAATTGGTAATTTGAAAAATTCACTCTGAATCTGTAATACTGTCGATCGCTTAATCTCTGACAATGGGTAAACTGAACTATGAAAAGTCTGAAGCTGTCATGAAAAATCCCATTTTCAGCAAATAAGTAAGTAAGTAAGTAAATAAATAAATAAATAAATAAATGGCAATGCAGATATCAACTAGTGATATTTTCTGAGCCACATGTACACAGTAGTTCACAATAATACAGAACAAAACATGCAGAATACTTTTTAATGTGAAATATTGAGTCGCAAAAATGATTTTTTTTTGTTCAGCTTTCTGAACTGATTGAGCAGGTATTGGCAAGTGTTAGCCTGTGCTGAAAATTATATTTGCGTCCTTTTTCATTTTTAATTCTTTTTTTTTTTTTAAATCTCCAACTGCAGCTTCTTAATTTTTAACTGTCAGTGCTTGTTCTAATCAGCAGACTGTAAATCAAACAGGCCTCAGAGAAAATGTCTAAAGAAGTAGCTGACTACTTGTTTGGGTCATTTTCTGCGGTTAAAGTGTCTGGTTTTACATAATTTAAAGATTGCAAACATGTTCACAACATTTCACTTTTACCGCTGCCATTTCTATGGCTGCAGAAATATTCTCCTCATCGAGGCGTCTAAACATGCTGGAGTCAAACAGAAGAACGCTGCAGCTACTAAATTCCTTCTCAAGTTATTGAACAAACCTTGAAAAACCCACCTCTCTGTATCACTTACACATCTAGTCTTTTTTTTTTACCTTGAAAATAATCCCTTCCTGCCTTGAAATGTCTCGGATGTAACTCTGCACCGCTGCTTTCTGTGGAATGTGTCGATCAGCTTTCCACCACTCACTGCTGCTCTCGGCCACCAGCTCACCTGGAACTGCTCGACGCTACACAACGGCCAGTTGTAATATCAGTAATTTAGCCAGACATGTTTAAATTACAACCTATTGAAGAAGAATAATAATACAGAAAGCTCCACCCATTCAGGGTCGGTTCTTCAGGTTTGTCATGTATGAAACCCTGAGAGTCTGAATCTGTGTTTTTGACGCTGTCAGCAGTACACTCCATTTCCAAAACGCTCAGCCGTGGCGTCGACGACTGATTTCACTCTAAATATGTGTCACGTGACTGCTGGTCACAGCTGAGTCTCTTGTGGCTTCTCAGTTGAGCTGAAGAGTGCTGATTCTTTTGTTTTTTACAGGATCTGATGCTCACGGTTTCGTTTAGACAGACGTTTACATGAGTCACGTAAAATGAAGTGATTTTTGATGAAATATTCCAATTTTCCAGCTTAGATTTGGTTAATTTTCTCTCTAGAACTACATGTTGTAGTTAAAGGACTACTGGACTTTTAAAATGAGATGATGATTTTTACACCAGTAGCAGTGGCACACGTCTCTTGTTTTGATGATACATATTTACAGATCAACAATTATTTTACCAAGTAAATTTCACCATTTCTTTGTAGGCTGCTTTCCACTCACTACAATGTTTTTATTCTTGTGTTTTACTTGTTGACATGTTCATGTTGGGCTATTGAGATGTATCTGAGAGGAATTAAGATAGTTTAGGGGTTACAAGGTTGTGACTGAAGCTCCTGCCGTCTGTACCCAAACAATGAACCCCGTTTTTAAATCACTTTAATGTTTTCTTTCTGCCATCTTGATGCAAAATCAACATCAAATGAGCTGAGTCAGTATTTTATACATGTGACTGAGCATCACTGGATGTAAACTGGGACATTATATTGTTTGCATTCATCATGTTTTTCCACTCATTTATTCATGTTTTTCACAGTTGTCCATAACGTGTGTTTCAGTGTTGCCTCCAGATGTCCAGCAGCTGTTGGTGATTAAAGAAGAAGTTCCCTGGAGCCCCAGTATGGACCAGGAGGAGCCAGAGTTCCTGCACATAAAGGAGGAACCAGAGGAACTGTGGACCAGTGAGACAGAGACTGATATCACCAGGTTCTCATACGCTGCTGTTACTGTGAAGAGTGAAGAGGATGAAGAGGAACCTCAGGCCTCAGAGCTTCATCAGAGCCAAACTGTGGACAGCAGAGAAGCAGAACCTCCAACGAGCAGTTTAACTAAACAGATTAAAACAGAAACTGATGACTTTGGAGGACCAGAACCAGCCAAGAACTCAGACCCAAATACTCCCTTATCACCAAATATTGATGGAAAGTCTTCAGACTGGTCTGAGATAGAAGTCAGCATTGATGATTATGATTATGATGATGAAGATGAGGATGAGGAACAGTGGAAGGAGCCTTTGTCAGAATCTGGACCTGAAAGTGAAGACAGTGACGATGACTGGATTAAGACCAAGGCACTTGAGTCAAGCACAAAAAATGACGTTGGATGTAACACTGACGTTAAGTGTGATAAACCATTTATCTACCAGCCGCCTGCTGAGAGACACATGACATGTCCTTCAGCAGAAATACCTTTCATCTGTTTGGTTGATCAGAAATGTTTTATAGGGGAGCAAGCTGTTGCTTCACAGTTGGCAGCTCACACAGGAGAGAAAACATTTGGCTGTAATGTCTGTGGACAAACATTTAGCAGAAACAGCACTCTTAAGAACCACATGAGAATCCACACGGGAGAGAAACCATTTAGTTGTGGATCCTGCGGTCAAACATTTAGTCAACAGGGAGTTCTGCAGAGACACATGCGAGTCCACACAGGAGAGAAACCCTTTGGTTGCAGTTTTTGTGGTAAAAGATTTCGACATCGATTTAGTGTTAAGAAACACATGAGAGTCCACTCTGGAGAGAAACCGTTTTCCTGTAATGATTGTGGAAAAAGATTTACCCAAAAAGCACATTTGAATACACACATGAGAATGCACACAGGAGAGAAACTTTTCAGTTGCGCATTTTGTGAAAAAAAATATACACAACGAGTGGATTTGGAAACGCACGTTAGAATCCACACAGGCGAGAAACCGTTTGCCTGTGATGTTTGCGGACAGAGTTTTCACAGAAAAAATATTCTGAAGGCACACATGAAAGTTCACACAGGGGAGAAACCATTTAGCTGTGACGACTGCGGCAAAAGATTTAACCAGAAAGCACATTTGGAGAGACACAGGCGAGTCCACACGGGAGAGAAACCCTTTACTTGTGATGACTGCGGTAAAAAATACACACAACAAGCGGATTTGCAAAGACACATGAGAGTCCACACCGGAGAGAAACCATTTGCCTGTGAAGATTGTGGCAAAAGATTCACACAAACGGCACATTTAAAGAAGCACATGAAGGTCCATTCAGATTAAAAACTGCACAGTTGCATGTTTTGTTGTCAAAGATTAATCGTGTAGTGTGGAAATATGTTAGCAGAGATGTTGTAGTAGGTACGGTAAAATGAGACAGGCTGCCCAAGGCTCAAATGGGGGTAGGACCCTTAATAGGCCTGAAATGAAAAGCTTGTTTTTGTGTCATAATTTAATTAAATATCGGCTGAATTGAATTTGTTGAGAGACTGAAGTTTGTATTCCAAAAGAATTGTGATTTGAATTAGCCTTCATCCCCACTGAAATAGTCTTCTTGTCTCCAAGACTCCATTCATCATTTTTTTCTGAGCAATATCTGTCACAAGAGGGAGCATTAAAGATTTATCTCATCTAATCTCGAGCCATGGCACGAACAGGTCAGCAGGGGGCGCTATGTGCCTAATAACTGTCCAGGGATATAAACTACACATTAATTGATCTCTGCAGTTCTGAACCCAGAACAAAGATTTTGATTTCGATAAGTGTACGTGGATATAATGAAGATGATCAAACAGAAATATCACATCAGACCACTTTTATTTCAGTAGATACAGACTTTAGTCTTGCTCCAGCTCAGGAATCAGCAATCAGAAGTGGGGTTTTTTTGGGGTTTTTTTTGCCTTCTAAGTTTGCTCATACATTTTGGTGCAAAACAGTAAAACAGGTAATAAAGTACAACTCATGAAACATAAATATAAAACAAACAAAAGTACAAAGGACACGTCTGCTTTTCAAATGAAGGAGCTGTACAGTTTATGTGCAGAACATAAACCAAGAAATATGCAAATATTTACAGAAAGAAGTAGAAGAATACATGCAGAGTGTAATGACGGTTAATGTAACATGCAGTGCGAGTCTGTCTGGATGTGATGAGTCTGTGTTGGAGCTGCATGAGTTCGCCTGCAGACAGGAAGAAGCTGTTCTTTTGGTGAGATGGACTGAAGCCTCTTGCTGGCAGAAAGTGTCTCAAAAAGTTTGGGTCAGTTGTTTGGAGGAATCCTGGAGGCAGATGGATGAATGCACTGAATGAATGCATTTTGAGTTTTGGCGTGAAATAAAAAAGTCATGCTATAGGGCCGCTGCTATAGCTCACCTGGTTGAGCTGCTGTCCTATGTGTAGGGCTACAGTCCCAATGTGGAGGTCATGAGTTCAAATCC